GCACCAATAGACAAGAAGTTTGGAAATTTTTTGTGCAGATTTGAAATTTGTCTGGAATTTTAGAAAAAATTGAGAAAAAAAAATCTGGAATTCCAATGTCTTCCATAGGGGGGGGGATGGATTATTTCTGGAATAGCCCATTGCAGGGGCCAGTTCTATCAAAGAATACAATGGCGATAATTTCAGAAGTTTTTCTGTCAAAAAGACTTTATTTCTTTCTGGATTTCTTCACTTTAAAAAGAATTATAAGATGCAGAAACTTTATGAAAGGAGTAGGCAGTGCTCAATGAATCATACCAAAAGTATGCAAGGAAAGTTTTACCCTTTCTCTGACAACGTGGTCTCGTCCATTTTTGAAACATTACGATTATTTCATTACTTTTTCGAGTTAACAATTGAACTATTGAACCTGTATTGTTTTGAGAAAAGCATTCCTGTTGTCCAGGTGTTCATTACAAGGCTGTATTTTACGATTACTTTTTCAAAATCGGATACGAAAATTTCTTGAAAATAAATAAAAATATTGAGATTTACCATCCATTTTCAATAACTATTAATTAAATATTAATTTAAAATCAATGTTAACTGTGGATGACTTGGATAAGGAATGGCATTTAATGATTCCTAGAGATACAGCAAAAATGTGTAAACAGGAAGTTGTGATGGGAGACAATTTCAAAAGTGCTAAAACAAGTATTGTCAAATCTTGTAAAATATTTCAGGTGGCAATAATTCACATATTCATAAAATAACCAAACACAACTTTTAAAGGTGGTTGTTATGTTTCAATTGGCAAACATTTATTTATTAATAATTCACCTTTAATAATAAAAAAAACTTCTTAAAAAAAAGATTTTTATCTTGGAATATGATCAAATATGTTAGCCTATTTTAAACATGCCTTTAATAAAATTTCAGTACGTATGGAAAGAGTTATTCCATTTCTTCCTTTGATATTTAAGGATATACCAATTTTAATTGCAAAATTGTAATTTGATAAATGTAAATAAAAATTAATGAAGAAATTCCAATTTTGTCATTGTAAACCTTCTTAAATATGTGTTTAAGTAAACTATGAAGCTGTAAAGGATATGTAACTAGTTTATAAGTCAAACAACTAAAAGTGAGAAAAAAAGATATACCTACTGTGCTACATTTGGGGACGGGTGGTAATAAAATCAAATTATTTAAGATATCTAGGCATTTTAATTTTTAAAGTTTAATTAATAATTGAAATGTCACTTATTTGCATTTCAGTTAATGTTCTTTCAAGGTCACCTCGGTCCGAAAATTGTGTTATTTAGGTCTTACACACATGTCATCCCAAAGCCCTCACTTTCCTCTTCCAATTGGTATATCATTGTTATAGTTTATATATTTGAAAGTACCCGAAAATAGGAGGAATACTTCAAGAACAACATTTGTATGTTACCCGTATATATAAAAAATCCAGGTCTTTGTCTATTCAATAAAATAAAACTAACATGGTAGTTATAAATAAATGTAACATTAAGTCACAAACATGAATCTTAAGGTGAATCAATCTTAAATCGGCGCTAATACCACAGCGCTATAAAAAAAATCCTGGGGAGAACACTGGATTGTATTGCTTTCAGAGTTATATAATACACCTTGCCTAAGAAAAAGGTCTATCTAGGTCCTTAAAAAAAGGAGGCTATAATGATGTAAAGTGACTTATAACTGCCAACAGCCACATTATTTAGACTCTGGTGGATAGCTAGCTAGTTATCAGACTGTTATCTCATTGGCAATCATGTAACCACATCTCCTTATTTTAGTATGGGTTAATTATTTGAAATAAATGACTCACAAACATTAAATCATTTGAAAAATAGATAATTCTGCAATAATTTATGTTGTCATTTAAAGATTTCAGTTTATATATATATATAAATATCAACAATGAAATTTGGTTGTATAAATGGTGTCACTATATTTGTAATTGTCAAACTAATATAACAATGCTATTGTCTAAATCTACAGAATTTGATCATCCTTTAAGTAACAGAAATAACAGTGTCACTAAGTCACTTGTAACTTATCTCTTAAATAAGGACTATGTGGGGTATAAGAGCTTACTTACTGCAGGCTCTTCATCATCATTTTGTTAAATAATTCTACAAAGAAGGGGATAGTCTGTTAATGTATCCTTGACTAAGAATAATGAAATTGCAAGAAACAAATTCACATATTACTTTGAATATTGTAGATCGTTCAGGTAGTCTTGAGCTATTTCTTCATACAAAAGAAACAACCAGCATATAAACATAGTCATGTTACACCACTGTCCCAGGTGAGGGAAGGGTTGGGATCCCGCTAACATGTTTAACCCCGCCACATTCTGTATGTATGTGCCTGTCCCAAGTCAGGAGCCTGTAATTCAGTGGTTGTCATTTGTTGATGTGTTACTTATTTGTTTTTCGTTCATTTTTTTGTACGTAAATTAGGCAGTTAGTTTTCTCGTTTGAATTGTTTTACATTTGTCATTTCGGGGCCTTTTATAGCTGACTATGCAGTATGGGCTTTGCTCATTGTTGAAGGCCTTACGGTGACTTTTAGTTGTTAATTTCTGTGTCATTTGGTCTCTTGTGGAGAGTTGTCTCATTGGCAATCATACCACATCTTCTTTTTTATATTCATTTCACACATATATATATATATCTTGACAAACAAATAAAAAAGCCATAGACATTTAAAACAATTCATTTCTATATATTCTATTGTCAGTCAGCATACCTACCATTAACTGAAAAGTCTCTTAAGATTCAGTAGGTAAATTATGTGAAAATCAAGACTTGCATCAAAAATATCCCAATATAAGAGACAATGGCGTCATTTTTCCTCAGAGCTTTCAGCTCTTTGATTAAAGAGTTATGCCCTTGGACATATTGGAAATATTGAATTTATGGAAAATGGCTTCGTTGGCACTCTCACGGGCTTACTATAGGTTAATATCACCACTATCTCAGACAAGTTGTATGATCGTTGCTGATCGATTATTTTTGAAAGGGTTGTGCCCCTTGGAAATATTAAATTTATGGAAAATGGCCTCGTTAGCGCTCCCACGGGTTTATGGATAGTTTGTCTATCAATGATTGTATCTGTTCAATTGATTTTAGTCAGGAGTTGTCGAAAATTTCTTTTTAACTATTAGGTTGTTTGTTTTAAAGATAGATTCCACAGTTGTTATGTGGTATTTTCTTTTTGTTGTGTATGCTAATGTTTAATTTTTAATTGATCCTGTTTGAGGGTCAGATTTGCAAATATCATTTTCATTAGATAATAATCTATTTGTATTCTTCCTATAAAACTACATACAATTTGTATAGTAAATTTTTACAATTAACTAAACATACACATTTGTACATGTATTTTGATTATGACAATATATTTACTATTAATTTATTCATGCAATAATTTCCACCTTTTATCAAGATAACAATCAAGTGGTAATTATCAACTAACAAAATTATGATTGGAGTGACAGATTTATTTTTGATTTTGGGCCAAGTTTTCAAGTTGGTCCGGATCGGGGAATTAAACTGTGTTTCATTACAACATAAGTTGAATATATATAGGGTTCTATCAAATGTTGAATGTAAACCTGTTTTTAAATTTTGGATTTTTTTGCCGAGTTTTCAGTTTGGTCCAATTCAGGGTCCAAAATTAAACTTTGTTTGATTTCATCAAAAAATTAATTTATGGGGTTTTTGAAATGGTGATTCTCACCATGTATTCGGAAATTTTGGATTTTGGGCTCTTTTATAAAATTGGTCCACATTGAGGTCCAAAGGGTCCTAAATCAAACTTCTTTTATTTTTTTTTTCTATACAGAATTAAGGCTGACCTATAAGGGACATGTAATCTTAGCATACACATGCACATTTGTGTGCATAATCAGATCTCAGTAGGGTCAATATCCCTTATTTGCCTCAAGGGTTAGGCTAACCCTAAACCCTAACCATTACCTCAAATAGTGCATGTAAATAAAAAATGTTGGCAGTGATAATGGACTTGTTTAAATTTTTATACGCCCGTCAAAATTTTGACAGGACGTATTATTGTAAACAAATGTCCGGCGTCCGTCTGTCTGTCTGTCTGTCTGTCCGTCTGTCCGGCGTCCACATGTGCACCTAACTTGAGAACGACTTATCCAAATTTCATGAAACTTAACACAGTTCTTTCTTATGATAAAGCAATCTGTATACTTTTTGGTGAAAATAAGACGAAAACATTTTGAGTTACGGGACTTTGTAATTAACACAGGGGTGTGTTTTTTTCACATGTCGTGCCGTATCTCAAAAAGGATTTATGATTATTGCTTAAAACTTTACACACTTCTTAGTTATATTAATCTAAAGATCTGTATACTTTTCATTGCTTTTTGGTGATGATTCAAAATTTTATTTTAGAGTTATTGAGTTTTTTTGTAAAAAAAGGGGGGTGGGGGTTTCGCATGTTGCGCCTAGTATCATTCCTTAACCCATATTGGCCCTCGGCTAAAGCCTCGGGATGGTACCAGGGCCAATATGGAAAAGGGAATGTTATAATCTATACGTTCTTTAAAATGATTTCACAATTAGTTATATTTTTAAAGTATTGGTCCTTGGTTAACCAAGACAATATGTTTGTGTCTTGCTATTACAAATGTATTAAGTATATATTTTGAGGGGGTATTTTCAATTTAGGTTGTATCAAAACAAGGAGATGGGATATGATGTCCAATGAGACAAATATCGACAAAATGACAAGCAGGTATACAACCACAGGTCAGCATCTAGCCTTCAACAATGAGTACAACGATACTGTATAATATGTATAGTAAGGTATGAACGGTTTTGACATAACAAAATGTGAAACAACTTACACCATAGACTTATTCCACCATTTTATTACTGTTTTAAATGGTTATGAATAATTCATGTGAATAGTAAGTCTTTTTTTAATTTTTAATTAGCTACACTTTATATATTTTTCAGAGCTGATGAAAAAACAAATAGAAGACTGGGAAAAGAAAGATAAGAAGTTCGTGTCTACAAGAGCCAGTGATTATGTCATGGAACAGTTACAGGACAACAGTTGCTTGACATTAACCGCCCCATCAGGAGTTGGAAAATCATTTATTGCAAGACACACAGCACTTGTTTTAAAGAAGGAAGGATACAATATAATACCAGTGGATTTACCAACAGACATTAGAACTTATTATCAGCCTGGTAAACAGACAGTCTTTATTTTAGATGATATTTGTGGAAATTTCACTGCGAATCAACAACAGATTGATAACTGGAAACAGTTGTTACCTGTGATTAAAACAATTATTGCAGACAAATGTTGTAAGATTATTGTATCTTGTAGATTACAAGTCTATAAAGATGAAAAGTTTAATATATTATCACCTTTTAAATCCTGTGAATGCAATTTAATATCAGATAAGTTATGTCTTACGTCTGTTGAGAAAACAAACATAGCAAAAACTTATATTGGTACTAGCATGAAAGATATTCATGATTTATCTTCTAAATGTGATTTTTTCCCACTCTTATGTTCCTTGTATCACGAAAAAAAAGATGTAAATGTCAAAGAATATTTCAAAAATCCTTTTGATGTCTATAAAAGTGAGCTAGATAGGTTAAGTGAGCATGGTGATGAAGGGAACTATAAAATATGTAGTCTGGCTTTATGTGTTCTCTTTAATAATCAGCTAAAGGAAAAATGGTTCCAGGGTAAAATGACAGATGAACAAGGACAGATCATAAAAGACACATGTGAGGCTTGTGAAATCACCAGTATACCAAAAGCAAAACTGAAGAAAGCACTTGACACCCTAGATGGTACTTTTATATATAAACAGAATGGTATTTATAGAACTGTACATGATAAACTATTTGACTTCCTTGCTCATTACTTTGGTCAGAAAATGATTGAATGTTTAATAGACCATGGTGATAGTGATTTAGTACATGAACGTTTTATTTGGCAGAAGTCACCAGATGACAAGAATAGTAACATAGACTTCATTATAGAAATACCAGATGATTATTTAGAATCATATTTAAAAAGGTTTATAAAGGACTGGTCAGCAGGAAAGGTGACAGATGTATTCAGTAACATTAATATGGATGTATCATCATTCAGACAAAAGTTATTACAGTACTTACTACAACTAGATAAATCACAACAAGTAACATTAGCCAATACAAAGGATACAGTGATACCAAAGGAGGAGTATGGATCAGGTACTACTCCACTGGTATGGACTTGTTATGATGGTTATACTGGTATGGTACAGTGGTTGTTACATAATGATGTGGATGTGGATCAATGTAGAGATGATAGGGTTACTGGACTTAACATGGCAAGTCAGGAAAGACATACTGATATAATAAAGTTACTGTTAGAGAGGAATCCTAATGTTGATCTATGTAACAAGAATGGCTGTAGTCCTCTGTACATGGCAAGTAATAAAGGAAATACTGATATAGTAAAGTTACTGTTAGAGAAGAATCCTAATGTAGATCTATGTAACAAGAATGGCTGTAGTCCTCTGTACAAGGCAAGTTATAAAGGACATACTGATATAGTAAAGTTACTGTTAGAGAAGAATCCTAATGTTGATCTATGTAACAATGATGGCTATAGTCCTCTGTACATGGCAAGTCAGAATGGACATACTGATATAGTAAAGTTACTGTTAGAGAGGAATCCTAATGTTGATCTATGTAACAAGGATGGCTGTAGTCCTCTGTACAGGGCAAGTCAGAATGGACATACTGATATAGTAAAGTTACTGTTAGAGAAGGATCCTAATGTTGATCTATGTAACAATGAAGACTGTAGTCCTCTGTACAGGGCAAGTCAGAATGGACATACTGATATAGTAAAGTTACTGTTAGAGAAGAATCCTAATGTTGATCTATGTAAAAATAATGGCTTTACACCACTGATCCAGTCATGTAGTAATAACCACAACAGTATATTCCAGCTATTAATGAAACATAAACCAAACATTAATGCCCAGACATTTGATGGTGGTAATTCTTTATATTTCAGTGCAAAGAATGGGAACCTAGAGATAACACAGTTACTATTAGAGAACAATGCTGACTATAATATCTGTATCCTTAGTAAACAAGTATTAACAGATATATATACTAACCAGCCAGGGTACACATTAGATGAAGGAAAACAATTATTATTTGATAGCTTGGTAGAGAATACATCATCACACGTAACAGATTATGTCAGTAAGAAGTCAGTAGAGTATGCCTTTGATGTAGTAGCTGGTTCTTATCCATTACACATTGCTTGTTATATGGGTAGGACAGATGTAGTCAATTGTCTTCTGGACCACAATGCTAACATCAACATGACAAAAGAAGAAGGAACTACACCATTATTTTATGCATGTGAAGTAGGACATGAGGATATTGTACATTTATTGTTAGACAGAGGAGCAGATACACAGATATGTAGACTAGATGGGAAATCCCCTTTAAATATTGCAACAGATAATGGACATACATCTATAGTAGTGATTGTAACAGAACACATGACGAAGGAGGACAAACTTTCTTCTTAACTCTTGTTCTTTAGTCGGTGGTTCTTTATGACATGTAAAAAAACATGCAAGGGATGTTGAAATGTTGTCTTTTAAACTCTTGTTCTTTTGTCAGTGGTTTGTTTTTACATGTAAAAATCATGCAGCAGATGAGAGAAAAAAACTTTTATTTTACCTTCTTGTTGATTGGTGTTTGATTAATATCTACTAAAATTCATCCTTTCTCTCCATTTCTACACATGTAGTTAAGCTTCACATTACATGAATATACATCTAAATTGTATTACAAGGAATAGAAAAAACATTTTAGATTCGAATGCAGTAAACACATTTTGTTGATGCCAATGAATAAAACTGTACCACACTTAGTAAACATTGTATTTCTATTATTACTTAGTATTTTTTTAATTACTTCATTGTTTTCTAAAGTCACATTTCTTTCTGCCTGATGAGTCAGGCTATTGTTTGTCTTATTTAGTGTCACTAATAAAATTCCTCTCTTTTTGAATGGCAAAGTTAATTTTAATAGACAGACAAATTCACAATCATATCATTGCCAAATTTGCTTCTCATGTTAAATATTCCACATTTTAGTGATAGTATGACATACTTAATATACTGTATTATTGGTAGGATAGGTGTAGTCCATTGTCTTCTGAACCACAATGCTAACATCAACATGACAAACGAAGATGGAACATCACCATTATTTTATGCATGTGAAGTAGGACATGAACATATTGTACGATTATTGTTAGATGGTACAGTTATATACAGCGGTATGGGCTTTGCTCATTGTTGAAGGCCGTACGTTGACCTGTAGTTGTTAATTTCTGTGTCATTTGGTCTCTTGTGAAGAGTTGTTTCATTGGCAATCATACCACATCTTCTTTTTTATGTATATAGATATAGACTACCATTTTATTTGTATTGTTACGTAGAGTCAAGATTTATCTTGTGTAACATCTTACTGATTGTATGACATACTTTATATACTGTATAAAAATATAGACAACCATTTGATTTGTATTGTTATGTAGAGTGGAGATTTATCTTGTGTAACATTTTATTTATTATATGACATACTTTATTCACTATATACAAATGTAGCCTACCATTTTATTTGTATTGTTATGTTTGTTCGTGTTTTCTCTTGTGTATGTATTCCTTTCTATATTTTTGCTATTTACATGACAAACCCCTATATTGTTTGTTTTGTTTGGATGTTGGGGTACTGTATAATTGCAAGATAAATATGTTGTATTTAATCTGTTAATAGAACTAATTATTATGAGACGTAATAACCATACTTTCTAAAGAAAAAAAACAGTGATCTATATGCTAAAGAAATAAATATTGTATCACAGCAGGTCTGAAAGGCCATGTGAGATCTGTCATCACTTTGGGTTCATTGTCTGTTTGTCTTTCAGTCTATTGCTTTTCAGCTTTTGAAAGATGATTTTATTTGATACCTTGAATCAGTTTTTACTTAATTTTGTATGCATTTTTCCTTCTGGTTTGTAATACATTCAAATTTATATTCAGCCCCCACCCCCCATCCCATATAGGTTTTCAATAAATTATCTGTTGATATATGTCTTGCTCATTTTGATTATCTTTATATCTATAAAATTAATAGACATTTTCATATGATTGATTTAAAGATTTTTTATTCTTTTTTCTTATGTAACTTTTAGTCTTTATATTGGGAAAATAGTACTGACAAAGATAATACTAAATATATTGTTTTTGTTTCACATCTTATGACTAGCTTGGTATTAAACATGATTGAAACTCTCAAAAAGGGTCTGAGGCAAAATTGCACTAAAAATAATGAGTAAAGCAGGAAAGACTTTTCATGGTGTGCACTCTTGTTTCAAATTCTTTGATCTCTCCTGGAAGTTATGAAAGTAATAGACTGAATGCTGTGTATAACCACCCTGCTTCAAAAAAAGTATGATACTTACTTGCTTTGCCAGTTTTTTTTACCATTTTGTAGTAACCTCATAAAGTTTTAACATGGAGGCTAACACCATTTTCAAGTCAATATTTTATGTCCCTGTTTTCAAATTTGCAGGGGCTGTTTCAAAAAAATTTTACCGCAAAAATTGTTTGTAAGTTATTTACTGAAATGTTCATGACTGAAGAGTATTTTTTTCTCTTTCGAATTTTTGTGAAATTTGTCTCAATTTTTAACATTGCAGAGTAATGCATCTTTAGAAAAAAAAGTTTCAATATGACAGCTTCTGGTGCAGTAAAATACGTACCATTACTATGACAGTTTTAGATAAATTCCCCTGATAAAGAAATTTTTAACATCACAGTTTTACTGTCTAGAGATGCCATGTAAGCAATGCAGACTCAAGTTCATTATAGTTAATTAATTCATTGTAAGTAAATATAGCAAAATCAATATATATATTGTGATAAGTCTCAAGTAATGAAATAAAGAACTTTCAGTAACAATTATTTTTACCGTTTATTAATGATTGATTTATATATTGTAATATAGAAATATATTTTGTTGATATACAAATAATCATAATTTATCAGTATTTTATTTATTTTTATTCACTTATATATATGTTAATTTGTTAAAAAGACCATCGCTGTTAATTAATGTCTTCTACGGTTGAATTGGGTTTGAACAGTATTCAATGTGAATATGATAGATTTGGAGAACGCATTCATCATTTTGGCTTTGCAGTTTACATTTCATAATGACAAATTGTGCAATTAACATGAAGGAGTAGTGTATCCAACTTTTAACTACAAAAGTCAACTTTGCTTAATTATAATCATATCACGAAAGATGTCTGGGAGTCAGCTTTCCAGTTTTCTTTAAAAGGGACAGAATATTTCAATCCATAATGATTATTATCCACCGAACTTGGTTTGATATTGCCCTGTTGTAAAAACTGTACTGATTTTAGGATCAATAGGTCATGTTACAGTGTTGTAAATATACTTAAAGTTTTGAGACCTAATTGAGTTTTAGGTAACTAATATAAAGATATGGAGATGTGATATGTTTGCCAATGAGACTATTATACCAGAGAAACCAAAATTATATGTCATCAGCTTTAGGTCACCATAAGGCCTTCAACAATTAGCAAAATTCATAACTATAGTAAGATGTATAAGGCTTCGACATGAAAAACTGTTATATTTTAAACAAACAAGAGTGCACACATTGAAATGTCTCCCCTGCTTTACTGACCATTGATTTTATGTTGAAAGTCTGAAAAATAAAGGTTTAACTAAAAACATCACAGAAACTCAGGTCAGATAAATGTTGTCAGACAGACATATACACCTTACAATTTTTTTATAAACAAAATATAGTTGACCTATCCGCTTATGATAATTGAAAAACAGACCAAAGCAAAAAACACTTAACATTTACCAATGAACCATGAAAATGAGACCAAGCTCAGATGATAACTGCCAGACAGACATATACACCTTAACCATTCCATACACCAAATATAGTTGACCTATTGCTTATAGTACTTGAAAAACAGACCAAACCACAAAAACTTAACATTGACCAATGAACCATTAAAATGAGGTCAAGGACAGATGATAACTGCCAGACAGACATGTACACCTTACAACGATCCAATACACCAAATATAGTTGATCCGTTGCTTATAGTACTTGAAAGACAGACCAAAACTCAAAAACTGAACATTAAGTTATGAACCATGAAAACGAGGTCAAGGTCAGACGAAACCTACCAGTCTAACATGTACTTATTACAGTCATTCCATACACCACATCTAGTTAACCTACTGCGTATAGTAATTGAAAAATAGACCAAACCACAAAAACTTAACATTGACCAATGAACCATTAAAATGAGGTCAAGGACAGATGATAACAGCCAGACAGACATGTACACCTTACGATCATTCCATAAACCACATATAGTTGACCTGTTGCTTATAGAACTTGAAAACCAGACCAAAACACAAAAAACTTGACATCAACCAATGAACCATGAAAATGAGGTCAAGGTCAGATGAAACCTGCCAGTCTGACATGTACCCCTTACAGTCATTCCATACACCACATATAGTTAACCTCCTGATTATAGTATTTGAGAAACGGACCTAATCACGTAACTTTAATCTTGACCGTTGATCCATGAAATAAGGTCGAGGTCAGGTGAGCCCTGTCTGACGGACATGTAGACTTTGTAAGGAACCCATATACCAAATATTGTTATCCTATTACTCCTAATAAGTGAGAAATTCAAATGACAAAAAATCTCAAATTTGTTTTCAAGCAATCGCTGAACCATGAAAATGGGATCAAAGACATGGGACATATGACAGACAGAAACTTCATAACATAAGGTATCTGCATACAAGATATGAAGTATCCAGGTCTTGTACCTTTTGAAATATAAAGCTTTAAACATATAGTTTACGCCGCCGCCGCCATCGCCGGATAGTAATACCTATGTCTCGTATAGGTGACAGGCGAGACAAAAAACTAAACGGCCTAATGTATGTACAAGTCCAAAGTCATAAGAAACGGTGGACTGAAATTGTGGCAATATTATTTGTTTCCTGATGCTATCTTTAAATCAAATGTCCTATCTTCACGAAAATTTGGGAAAGGTTTTGCTTCAGAAAAATATATATTGATCTGTGGTGGATACTGTGTCTTTGAGAGATAAAAACATTAATTGTTAATTTTACAGTGGTCATCAATAAACTGAAATTATTGGTGGCTCTGTATTATTTTCCTGAATAAATTGTTTTTAAAATACATGTAAAGTCTCAGTGTAACTTTCAGATGAAGAAAAACAAAAATCCAAATTTGGTTGATTTTGTTTGTGAGTGGACATTATTCTGTGTCATAAGAACCTCCTTTTATAGTCTAGTGGTAGTAGTGTGGGAGGACGTGAGGTCGAGCCAAAGCAGGTTCAAAGACTTGAAAAGTGCTGGTCTCGGCTATGCTTGGAGGATATAGAAGTAAGAGCTCTTATCGAGAATAATGTGTTCATGTAATTAATATATGTTTCTGTTGAGTATAACCATGTGAACTAGCACTGATTTCTTACTCGATTTGACTCTAATTTTTCTGGGTCCTTTTTGTCAGACCTGTTATCACGGAAGCGAAAAAGCGATCCTACTGTCTATCGTCAGCGTCATCAATCTGTTGTTAAATATAAATAAAAAAGAAGATGTATGATTTTCAATGAGACAACGATCCACTAGAGAACAAATGACGTATATGTTAGCAACAATAAGTCGCCGTTTAGCTTCAACAATGAGTAAAACCTAAACCGTATAGTTAGTTATTATAAATGACCTCGATATGACAAAATGTTACAATTCCAACGAGAAAACTAATGACGTGATTTATGAACAAAACAATGAACGAATTCGAAAACAAACATTATAGACAGCAACTAACGATCATTGAATCCCAAGCTCCTGACTCTGGACATGCACATACAGGATGTGGTGGGTTTATAAATGTTTGGGCGATATCAACCCTTACCCTAAACTTGGATAGTGATGTAACAGCACAACATAAAACAAATAAAGAGCTGCGCCGTGAGCGCATGATACGCCAGTCGCCCTTTTAGTTCGTCTTTATGCTTTAGCTGAATTTATATCATGAACTATAACTACTGTGAACACTTTTCAATAGACCCCCACCCCCACCCCACCCCGACCCCCCATCCAAAAAAAATATAATAAAACAATAAAAAAAAGACATGCACACACAGTGGTACCCATTGACACACAACGAATAAATTTCCATAACTCCGCAATGTCATATCAGAAATTTATATAAAAAAAAGAAGAGAGAACGGAGCTTAATTCAGTAGATATAAACAAGTCACCAAAGTCTCATGAAAACTGTTCAAAGCGTTTTCGAGTTATTGTTCGAAAACTGGAAGCCCTCTCCTTTTTTATGCATACAGTCACAATACTCCAAAAGTTAAAATCAGATTTTTTTTTAAATTTAAAAGTAGCCTACGTCAATAGATTTTAGCAATTTCCCAAAGTTTCATGAAAATGGGTGAAAGCGTTTTTGAGTTATTGTCCGAAGTGTTTACGACGGACGGACGGACAACGGAATATAATAATTACATATCTGAGATTACTCGTAGTTACTGAAGGCTATTTTCCCCCTTCATTTTACAAAACTTAGACATATTCTTCTTCATAATCAATAGACAGTAACCAGTGCAAACTTTTAATTTCTTCTTCATTCTTTCATATTTTACATTAAAGTTTTGAATTTTCAAATATATTTGTCTAGAGTATTACTGAAGAGACATTAATTGTCGATTTGCTGATATGCTGCTTAGAATTTGTACCATTAATGTGATGTTAGCAGGTTTAGAGTCATATCGCATAAACATATTATATCCTTGGTATTCATGTAATATTTGCCACTGGAATTTTAAACATAAATCCCCCCTCCTGTCGGTCTAGATAGAATACAGACCTCATTATTTTCTGCATCCGAAGTTATCTAACATATATATCTCGATCTGCACCGTGGTTGTCTAAATGTTTGTATCGTTTTGTTCACGCTGCAGTGTGATTGTCGAGCTAAATTATGATAATAAATGTTTCATTTCTTTGCCAGATTTATTTCATTCATATAACTCTATGGCTTTTTTTCTTTTTTTCAATTCACAGTTGTGACGTGATCGTCAGTTTGCAAAGCATTCTGCTCAAATCAGAGCTAGGGGTGAGAGTATTTTTTCTACGTGCCGAAAGCCTCA